ATCCTTAGATGCTCAAACACAAGGTGCCTACATGCACCTAAAAATACACATTACAAATGATCATCTTACAAGTCATATGGGTGTGAACTTAAAACTAATATTTGCCTTTCTGCTCACACATCCAACCTGTTAATTAAGGGGAGTGTGAGGAGGAATGTTGAAATACGTTGCAAAGTCAATTTGCTCTCACATTAATTCAGCTAATTAAAGCGTTTTCCACTTTTTGCGAATCTGAAATTTATTCAGCGTGCCATTTGGCCAGGACAAGCTCGCCCCCACATGCCCACAGATACTCACTGTCAGTAGCTTGCTCTCTTCAAGTTCCCCATCACCTTAAAGAAAGGATTTCAGAAAACGACATCGTGGAAAGAAATGTTTTATTATGTCAGTAAAAAAATACACCAGGAACCTCACTGTGGGTAAAAGAATTGATTTAAATCAACCAGCCACTATGCACTTTGTTCGAGGGGTGAGAAGCTGGACTCCTGATGATAATAATAATGAAAATAATGGGAAGCTATTTCTGTTGTTCCACAATAAATTTGAAGGATGAAGAGGTGGTCTATGAAATACCCCACTACAGCTAAAAAACACTGTTCTGTTTCTCACTTTGGAGATTATGGGAAGTTTTAAAGCAGATGTTATAAAAGTCATCCACTTTTTAGGGATGCTTATTAGTATGTGGGAGGCTCTTTGCCTCCTACCTTTTTTCACTCATCGTGCATTTCCTTTCTTTGCTCCTATTTCAGTTTCCCTTGACAACTACTCTTTTTCTTTATAAACGAAGAAAATGCATCTTCTTTCCTCCCCTCCAAGCTCTTATCCTCCTTCCATTTACCGTCCCTCTCTTACAGACAGTCCTTACCTTCTTTCTCTCTTCCTTCCTCTCCTGACCATACTCCTCCTCAGTGTACCCCCGCTTCTCAGTGAATCTATCTTTTTAAAATTGTTTCCAAGATACGAGGGGAATAGGAGGAAAAGAGATGGCAGCCCAAGAAGAAAGTAAGGCCAGATGATGAGGAGAAGGAAATGTAGGAGCAGAGACAGAGAGAATAATATGAAGAGACAGAATGACGCAGATTGAAAAAATGAAAGAGAAGCTTGAGAGAGATCTCTCTGTGTAACAAGACCTTGCCTTTAGCATTATTTCTTCATATGTTGCACATTAATCCTTTGTTTATGAAAGATGGAGATGCCAACTACAGCTGTCCCACTGGGAGGGGAGGAGCAGAGCTATCTGAATGCAGCAGAAATATGTGACCGTGTTAAGAATTGGTATCAAACCCATCCATTACAGTGATTTAATAATATGCATTTAGAGAATTAGCCTGCAGTGACTGTGTAAAAATGGTTAAGATGGACTGGTGATCTCTTTTTTTCTGTTAGTGAGATCTAACTATGTTCTCTGAATCAAAAGGACTTGCTTTGATTTTTTTAATGTTACATTCATTTTAGTGGTCTTCTGGTGTTGTTTAATGATCCCGTACACGTTATGTGTTTGTGTTGGAGTCGCACAATGTTGCACAAAGACCTTTCTGACTGCATATCAAATGAAGTTAGAGGTTCAACAACCATAGAAATTTGTGGTGCTGAAATGATTAGTCGATGAATCGATTACTTGATTGTCTGAGAATTATTCCCCACTACCCCCAACATTTTTTTAAAACTCCACTAATTATTTAAGCAGTTTATCAATCAGCTATGCCAAACATTCTGAAATTGTTTTGAAGTTTTTGTTGTTTTATTTCAAATTGAGTGTTTGAGTTTTGTGCTGTTGGTTGGACGAAAAAAGAATGTTGAAGACTCACGGCAGTTATCACGGGCAGTTTCACTATTTTTAAGGCTAAGTGATGATTGGAGGGATGGCTGATTAATTGATGATGAAAATAATTGTTTCTTGCTACCCCAGTTGTTCAGCAGGACCCAACTGACAGCAACATGATGTGACATCAAAACGTTTTAGACTTTTTGGTTAACTGCAGGGATGATTTACAGTGCAACAGTGATACGATTTAGTTGATATGGTGCATAAAAAAACTTTCTCATATAAATACAATTGAAATTCTCCAATATGAGTCCCCTAACATGGCCAAATATCTGACTTATACTACAGAAACATCCCACACCGCTCTCAGTGCATCCTTCAACAGATGTCTTGGGGTGATTATTGGCAATTTCAGATAAAAACCTCACTTGTGTTGGGGCTAATTGTCATTGATGGAAATGATTAACTGTCGCATTTATCCTCGCTATGGTATTGAGGCCATTGTGGTGTATAGGGTCTAATTGTAGCTAGTAGCAGTAGTTATGCGGTATGTTGTGGTGGGTTGTACCTAATTGTAGTTGATAGTAATGGTTCCAGTCTGTGTATACAGCCTGAAGCAAACAAAGGCTGTACTGCGACATTGAGACACACACACACACACACACACACACAGATGCATACACCCAGAAACAGACGCACAGCCTTTTAACACACACACACGTCTTCCTCTTGCCCACATCCTGAAGTGTACAAGTAGCACGTCAGAAGTATGCAAATAAACATCTCATGGCAATAAAAAAATAATAAATAGATGAGAATTTTACTCTCACTAATTCGCGCTCTGTTGATTTCACGCTTCACCAGATCATTCATAATTTTCTTATTATCACTTTGATTAAGTTTTGAAGTCGCCACTGAAATCTGACGGGGCAGATGGAAACACAGTCAGGTCAGCCAGTGCTTCTTAGGTCGGGATTTCAGCTTCATTGCTTTACCACAACGATCTGTAGTTTTCCACTGTGTGTGTGTGTGTGTGTGTGTGTGTGTGTGAATGATGAATTCTGACTGGGTGTGGTGAACATCAGATGAGATTTTCCTCTGTTCCATGCAGACACACACAGTGAGTGCCAGGGCTGGTCTAGGCGTGGGCCCTTGCAGACATAAATTGCTTTATTTTAATAGTTGTATGGTAGAGAAAGAGGGAAAGCATTTTTTTTTAAATACTAGAAAGGCCATAGAGAGAAAATGGGATTCAACAAAGAAAGCAGCCCTCTGTCTGTCATTCATCTTCCCTTCTTCTGTGTTTGTGTGTATTTTTATTATGACCTTTCTTCCTAATCCAAAGGATTACATTACAGAGTTGTTAAAATATGGTTCTTTTTAATATATTTTTTATATTTATGTGTATCTGCATGTGTTTGTTTATGGACATCTGATTATCTGTTTTCAACTACATTCCCCTTTACTTCTCTGTCTTTAGAGTGTGTGTGTGTCTGCGTTGATTCTCTCATGATTTAAATGTGTGCAGTTTGCTATCAGTAAATAATAACAAGCGCTCTCACACTAACATCAGTGTCAGTCACAGGGTTGCACGCATGCTATCTCGTTTCCACACACATCATCAAACATGTATTACTCACACACAGAAAGACACTCGTGCGCTCAGTGTCTTCCCCCCCCTCATATTGCATTGATCTAAAAGTGATCAGTTTTTGGCGTCTATCAGGCGTCTGTTTGGATTTTTGTCTGTTCATAACCGAACACACACACACACAAACACACGCAGCGTATGGGTCAATGAGTTGACTATGTTTACGACTGAATATGAACTGAACGACCACAAATAAACACACGCTCGCTAGCACGCGCATACACACACATGCTTGGAAAATGCGCACGCACACAGTATCTCTCTGTCATGACTGTTGTGAGCAGAACGACCACAATTGTTCTCTTTTCAAACAAAAGAAACATTATGGTTTAACATAAAACACATGGTTGGTTATTTGATGGCTTTGTATAGTGATTATAAGGGAGGGAGGGGAGGGACGGCGGGAGAAGGGGGAATGACAGAGGGAGGGAGAGGGCAGGAACTAAAATAAAGATACATTTTAATTATGAAATTACTCAGATTATTACTTACTTTTGCGTGTGATAGTTGGCAACGAGAGAATAAAAAAATGAGTGAAGTGCAAGGAGGATGCCTTGATAAGTACTTTTGTAAAGGTATTTTACCCTGATTATAAATGATCATGGTGGTGAGAGAGGTTGAGGGGGAGGGAAAGAAGATGAGGTGATGGGGGGGGGGGGGGTTAAAAGTAAGCTAGGATTTGAAATGAGAAAGAAAAGCAGACAAAAAGAGAATAAAGTAGAGGGAGGAAACTGAAGGGCAGGAGGTGATACAGATAGAGCTGGAAAGACAGTGAGAGATGAGAAAAACAGAATCTGGGAAGCCAGAAAATGAATGAAAGGCACGCAGAAAGAGATGCAAGAAAGAAAGAGAAATTTGAAGGGCTGGAGGGGATGAATTGCAGTCTGCCGCCTCCCTCATCCGTCTTTCTGATATGGGGTGTGCGGTTTGATGTGGTTGTCTGTTGGCCATTCTACCCGTCTCTCTCTCTTCTCTCTGTCTCCCCCACTCTTCTCAGTGCCTCACCCTCTCTCCACCCCCACACTTTCCCCCACCCCACCCACTCCCTCGCCCTCCCAGCGTCTCTGATATGGTTTTGGTTTTGATGTGGTCATGTGTTGAAGATTCTCACGGATGGCTTCCATAACGATAAATTGATCCACTCCCTGGTTTATAAGAAGAAGAATAAGAAGGGGGGGCAAAATGGCAAAAAAGTTGCACTTAAGGATGCAACGAACGTCCCAACACACACACCCCTGAAAACCCCTCTCACAGCTGAGATGTTTTTGATTTGTTGGGGCTGTTTTTCTTTGACGGGGTTTGTGGTTGAGGATTGTCACAGATTTCATCTTTCAAAGAAGTTTGTAAATTGAATCAAAGCTATTCCGTACACACATACATCATTGTCAGGAAATCATATTTGTGTGCGTGTGTGGGTGCATGTAATCCACGGCATATTATTTGAGCACATTGTATCTGTTAGTGTCTTGATTTTAAGGGATTATTAAAAAATCTGCTTGATATTTTCATGTTCCTTCATAAGTGTCAATGTATTGGCTGAAAATCTAACTTTGTCTCTCTCCTTATCTCTTTTCGTCCTCTCAGAGATGGTGAGGAAGAAGAATCCCCCTATCCGGAGTGTGGGAGGTGAGGAGGAGGAAGAAGAAGAGGGGAGGAGGCCCGCAGGAGAAGAGGAGGAGGAGGGAGAGGAGGAGGGAAGAGTAGGAGCAGAGGCCGAACGCATAAACCGACCCTCTGAGCCAGAATCCTCCGACCGGATCAGAGGAGATGAGGAGCAGGAAGAGGAGGAGGGGGAGAGCGAGTGCGTATCCTCGTCTGTCTCTCCCTCATCCGTTGGCGACCGCTACAGCAATGAGGAGAGGGGGGGGAGGAGAGGAGGCGGCAGGAGGGCCACACAAGGAGGAGCGGTGTTGAATGACAGGCCCGAGAGCCAGTCGGAGCCTGAGGACGGGGAGAAGGGGGTAGAGGAAGGAGAGAAGAGTGAAAGAGACAGAGGGGAGTCAGATCATCTCACGACTCCTCTCCACTCTGCTCCCCACCTCCTCCCAAGACAGGAAGGAGGGGAGGAGTCAACAACTGACACCCCTCCGCTTTCCTCCAGCCCCTCTCCCAAACTCCAGGACTTCAAGTGCAACGTGTGCGGTTACGGTTACTATGGCAACGACCCCGCCGACCTGGTGAAGCACTTTAGGAAGTATCACCTGGGCCTGCACAACCGCACACGGCAGGATGCTGCCCTCGACACGCACATCCTGGCCCTCCATAACATGGCTCCCCAACACACACCTCTAGGTGATTCCAGCTCTCTGCTATGTGTTTGACTTGTTGTTGATGGTTAGTGTGTAAAATAGCTGTTAAGGAAAATAATGTGGATCTGTGCACAAGTTCATGAAATAAGCCTCACTGATCAAGCCTTGGACCACACACTGACATGGTGAACCAAAACAGGAAGAAACAGTCCTATTATGACCTGATTATGTATTAATATACACACTCCGTGGTTAAATCCTACAGCATTGTAATGTACATTAGCATACAAACGCAGATTGTTTTATGAAGCCCTGTTTTATTACATTGTAACGGCACATTTGATTTTATAATGTTAATTTTTCAGTATGCTCAGGGTGCACCAGCTTCTTGCATCAACAACTTGTAGATTGTTGATCTGAAGTTCTCCTTCTTCCCAGATGTCAGACATGTCCTTGGATTTGTGTGACTCTGGCAGCCTGACCTCTGTTTGTCTGTCTGCTTTTACAAGTCTGACCCGTACTTGTATTTGTGCTCCCAGATATACAAGCAGGACAGGGGCAGAGGAACCAAGCCAAAGAGTTGGGGAAGACAAGACCAGATATGCACAATCAGCAGCACAGGACAGTTATGATGAATGGCACATATGACGTACAGGTAAGCACTTGCCACATTCAAGAAATACAGATAAATAGATTTACCAAGCCTGAAGCCTAACTTTTTTTCATAGAGTCTAATAAATGTGTTCATGCATTTCATTCACACATACACTAAAAATATACCTTTAAAACTAATACCCTTACCGTTTATTGGTAAGGGTATCAGTTGTACACAAAAAAGCAGTAATAGTGTCACATCCACATGAGTAACAAGTAAAAACATAAGTAAACAAAACACACACAAACCAAGAATAAATAAAGCTGCTTAGTGTGGCAGCCCTGAATTAATTATAAGGAAGGAAAAGTGTTTGAAGGAAACGATGACTTACTAGTTTAGTAAAGCTTTTTTTTTTTAACTTCCTCTTGTTACCTTCTTAGTCCAATAAAAAGCAGCATTATTTGATCTGGTGCACTTTGGTAACAGTCAATTTCACAATGCTTTTTACCATTACTCTTGAAAAAGACCTCAACATAACTGAAGTTTTTCACTCGGAACAATTTCTGTTCCCTGACCTGGTTTCATCTATCAACCTTTTTCTTTGAGGGCCTGTTCTGTGTGGAATTCACGGTCCAGCGACATCAAAATTCACAAGAAATGAAATGAGGGTTGAACTTATTAATTGAAAATTCAGAGCCTCTAACCGACGTAATTTCTGACGTATTTTTGGTTATATAATCCTGTTAATATTGTGGATGTTCATGTAATTTCCCCTTGGAACATCCTACCACGTGTGTAGTCACGTGACTCCGCCCCGTCCAGTCCTGAGTCTGAAGCACAGGGAGATGTTAGTTAGTGCTTACAGCCTTCACTTTCCAGCGGTTGTGGAAACAACAGACAGACTTTTATTAATCGACACACTGTGACCTACACTCAGACTTGTATACCTACACTGTACATTTACTGCCCGACTGACAGCTTATTACTCGCTGTGTGCCGGTGAAAAACATTTGTTCCGCATTGATATTAAATAATTGAGTGAAAGTTTATAAGCAGTGGTCATAATTCAGCAGCGCCAATGCGCCGACTATAGGGGAACTATGTCTGTAATGTGCGCGTCAACATTACCATATTGATTAATTTAGAAGAATAAATAAACCCAGCTTTAATAGTTGAGCATATTTACAGTACAAACCTTGTCATTGAAATATGCGGGCATTCAAAGACAAAATAATCGTTCAATAATCGAGGTGAAATGTTCAGTTAGTCGTGATTTTGAATTTAGGTCAAATGGTCGTACAGCCTTAGGTTGAACAATTAATTGAAATTTTTTTGAAATCGCAATATGGCCAGGAGGTGCACTTTTTGTTAAAAGCAAAACATGTGCGTCAAGAGACCATTTTAATATTTTTTAATAAAAGAAAAAAAAAAAATAGGGCAGTAGTAGCCTAGAGGTTACAGAAGTAGCCTTCTGCCTGGAAGGCCAGTCCCCTAGAAAATAGAGAAGGGAAGATGAATGAGTACCATTCTTCTGTCCTCAAGTAAGGCACCAAGTGGATCTGCTCAACAGTAAAGGTGCCAGTATCCAGTACTACATCAGAAGTGCTTGTTCAATGGTTGAACAGCATCGTTTTTTTTCATTAATAAACTATTTTTTATGCGCACTATGAATGTCTTCTAGGAAAAGACTATTTGCAGTTATTTAGATATTTAAACAATTATCACATCTAGCTATTTTCTATGGCCTATAAACACTATTGCAAGACCACACATCGTATGTTATTTTCGAGCATACCACCGTCTTAAGAGCTTTAACTGGTAAGGGCCCAGATGTCAATCTATGAACCTGCATGAATATGAAACCAAAAAAAGGGCTAGATCGATTAGTTTTTACATAGGAAGGATGGATAATAATAAAAGGTTACAAAAGAGACCATTTTAAATGAAATATTGTCGTCTTGCAGAGATGTCCTGGCCTTCACATCATATTCTACAGACTTAAAAAAACATCTGTGTTTGTTACATATCCCTGCAAAAATCTCACCACAATGATTTTAGTTTGTTTTCATTCGCTCTAAATTATCATTCTATCTCATAACACAAATCAAATCTCCATTGCAATATCAGTCAAAATAATCTCAATTAGAAATTTAAAAAAAATTTTTTAAATAGACATAATGTACCACACTGAGGACCCCACACTGGTCTCATGGCAACAGAGTGTCAGGTCCATAAATGTATGTAACAGGGAAGGTGCAGCCTTGTCCAGTGCCAATTTTGAACGTACCCTGGAAACACAGACTATAGTCTTTTTAAGAGATAACAAACACATGTTGACTAGGTTACCAATGATGTCTTCATGATTCAATTCAATTCAATTCAGATGAGCTTTATTGGCATGAATGTGTAACAACAATATTGCCAAAGCATCATACATACAACATAAGAACAATCAACCCCATACATTTCATTAAACAAGTAATTAAAGCGTAAAGTAATGTCATGATCAGTCATGATCTGAGAGTAAAAAGCTGGTGCCTCCATGGAAATGTTGGCTATCATGGTAGCACTCTTTTTTTAGTCATTTTTACTTAAATATGTTTAAATATGTGTATGGATATCTCTTGGATATAGCGTGACTTACTTTTTTAGTTATCTCAGTGCACTGTCTCCAAAGTACCCCACACATTTATACCGTACATTTGTTTTTCTATTTAAATTTCTGTCTTGAACTTTAAGAGATTATACATTTTGCAGTAGTTCTGATTTAACTGGAGCACTGAAACGTGAAAACATTTCAAAAAGTACATTAGAGATCTGCAGATGTAGATGCAATGCAGTATTAATGCAGCTGCTTTACATCTTCTCTTGCATGTGGTTTTCAGTATTAACAAAAAAAAGGCATACAATTCTGTGAAAGAAAATCATGAAAATTTCTTTCTAAAGTGTACTTTTTTAATTCATTTCAAAGTTAGAATTAAGGAGGTAGTACTAATTTAATAAACATTTGCAATCATCATAACATTTTTCCTATTTAGGGAAAATTAGACACTGATTAAACGGTAACACCATCAGATAGAAGTTATGTTATCAACTTTTTATGAATGACGCAAGCAGTGCAGGTAACTTTGAAGCAAACTTTATTTTTAAATAATAACTAACATGAATAGATGTAGGTAGAAATACTCACATTGCAACATGGAACAATCTGATATCAGAAATCAATATCAGTTAGAAACTTTGATCCAAAACAGGTGACATGTTGCTTCAGTTAACAATTCACTACAAGCATTACTCATAAATCTGTAATTCAGGGCTCATAACTGAGCTAATTTATTGGGGTGAACAATTTGCAGCTGATTTGTAACATAGTACGTGTGTGTGATTTGGACAGTGAGGCATTGTGGTGCAAGTTATAAAGCTTTATAGACTGACAGATGAATAGACACAGAAAGGGAGACAAATAGGGCACCTCGTAGACAGGCAAGCAGTCTCCTGTACACAATCACTTATAGGCAATGCATACATCTACACACACAGGCGTACACATGCACCCCATGCATCATCGTGTTTTAAATGGTGGCCAGAAAATGTATATCCTGCACTGTTGTACTAATATATATCCTGCTCTGTCAGATTTTATGCTCAGATTATAAATATTTTAACTAGTATCTGGTGGGAGCTGCTTTACTGGGAATAGCAGGATAAAGACAGGAATATAGATTAACAGATGATTGAATTTTGCCTTGTAGTTGTACACCATCAGAGCACAGTAAAATGTCAGATGTAATTTGCACATGCAGTCTGGACATCAACAAATCAGCCAATCAGTTGTAGGAGAAAAAATGTCTTCAGTGATTTAGTTTTATTTCACTGATTATTGCACCTAAAATCAAGGGTTACTAATCAGTGAAGTCAACAGCTGCAGACTGGTTAGAATGAAAACCTGCAAAGTTTCTGCTTTACATTGTTTACTGTCCCTGTCATAATAGCCTCAGACACAAGTGTTACATGTCAGCTATACTTTCTTTCTTTTTTTTTTCTCAGCATACACACATACTATTTATTGACTTGTGCATATACTGTAGCTTTGATCTTTAAAATTCACATTCAGACGCATATGGCTTTGACACATTTATTGCCATAGATGCTTGAATATCAATATTTAACAACAGTATGTTTTACTTTAGGCAGCAGAATGGGTGGTTTTAATTTTAAAATTAACTTGCTAAAATATGATTGCTAAAATAGTGAGAACTGTAAGTGTCAGGCAAACAGACCTCCATCAACTCACTATTCTCAGTCATTCTCAGTCATTCTTGAAACATTCAGTAGAACAATAAGACATTGTCGACTTATTGAAAGCATTTTTGTCCTCATTGAATTTAATGAATACCTGTACTCGCAGAGTTGAGTTTCAAGTTTTATTGCAATATGTTCTGTTTATATCTTGTGGGCTAATTATCTAGCCACTTATATCATAATAAGTTGTTGTTTTTAGTAGTGGAGAGGCTGTCACATTCTTTAAAAGTCAAATTTTTCAACAGCAAGTATGCCAATCAACCAGGGTCTGAAATGTTTTCACTGCCTGCCACTGGGGCAGGGACATATTTTTCTTTTGCCCTCAAAGCTGAAGTGCTGTTTTAATTTATACTTTTGAAATGTATATGCACAAAAACATTACATGCATGTTTGCATGCACAAAGGAAAGACCCCTGTCTTTCAGTACATGACATTCACTCCATCTTACTTAACAATCATTAACGACAGTCAGTGCTCAATACAAACCCAAAGTTCAAACAATATTGAATGGGTCCCTATCTCAGTTCAAATCCACATCTCTACAAAACCTCTTATTTTGGACCCCAGCAACTGAGCAAAAATACTCATTGAGTTTCAAAACAAAAGTTGACCAACAAAAATAAAACCAAGTGACACCTCTCGCATCCAATAGGCAAGCTACGTGATTCTCCGACAACACCGGAGTTACCTCCTGTAGTCCGGCGGGGCTGCTGGCAATCTAACCGGCTGTCAGTCAGTAGACGCCTATCCCCACAAAATGTGCAAATTTCAGACGCTGCAATCAAGATATAATTTTTGTGATTTTTCCAGTTTGCCGTGAATACTAAGGTCAGGTGTGCACATTAAATCTCAAATTTCTAAATTAGGACTTAGCATCAAATAAATATCTAAAATAGTTTTAATATCCATATAATGTAGGTATTTCGACACTTACCCACAGTTGTAGGTTATCTTATCTTAATTACCTTCATAGTCACACATAAGTGTGATTTTAAAAAATGTATTCTTAATTTGTAATTAACTTAATTGTGTTTTTCTGCACTGGGACTAGTTTGGGTAACAATTGGGTCAAGGATTAGGAATTCGAGTGTGCATGAACAGTAGGGTTTTGTCTGAAAGCTTTAAACAAGATGATCTAATAAACGTGTATGTTTGTGTATGTGTGTGCATGAGTTCCTGTGTGTGTGTGTGTGTGTGTGTGTGTGTGAGGAATACTCAAGGAGTTTCATTTTACTTAAACCAGGAGTCTGTAATGGCCGTAAGTCACGTAATGGACACAGAAACACACACACACACACACACACAGTCATCAAACACAGCACACAGACACACACAGAGTCAGAAATAGAAAATCCAGTGGGCTTAAGTCGTCATTATGAAGAAAAAGTGAAAGTATTAAAAAAAACGAATGAAAGGGGTCTCTATTCTCTCCATCCCTCACTCGCCTTTTCTCTCTCCCGCCCACGTTTGGAAAATTCCATGTTGTCATTTGCTAGGACGAGTTACTCTGTCAACCAATGAGATTGCGTGAAAAAAGTCTCTGGGAGGAGAGGGATAGCGGAGAGTAAGGAAAGAGTGAAAGAGATGGAGGAGGAAAGGGGAGGAGGGAGTAGAAGAGACAGACAGAGAGAGGGAGAGAGAGTAGTAGAGAGTAGTTATAATCGGTTGTTAGGCAGTGTAATGAAACAGCTGTCAGACACATTTAACTTTCTTTTTCTCTCTCTGTTCTCCAGTTGTCTCGCTCATCATCTGTCTTTGTTTCGCCTTCACCTTCTCCTCAGCATTCTCCTCTGCATTTTTTCTTTTCTTATTCTTTCTTACTCTACTTCCCCTTTTTTCCTCTAACTTCTCAATTTGCTTTTCATCCATCTCTCACATCTTTCTTCTCCTACCCTCTATTCCTCAACTTAGACACTTTTTCCCTTAACTTGTCCCACTTGTCCTCTGCCTCCTTTCTTTCTTTCCCTTCCCCTCTCGTGTTCCTTTTTGTGTCTTTCTGTCTATTATGCTTGCTAAAATGGCCTAATGTTTGGCTCTTCTCTAATTGCTTGGGCAGGGTCTGTGGGATGTGATGATTGGATGATTGCTGTTGTGAGATCACACACAGTAATAGATCTCATTTAGCCTTCTGAATTTATACATACAGTAGCATTTTATTGAATCCAAATCTCTTCCAATCAAATCTAATTAGGTTTGGCTGCTAATATTTACAGTGAAATTAGGTAATGTTATACAGCTTTTGTTGACTATTAAGGCAGGGACACCTCTGTTTTCAGAAGCTAAATAGCGTTTACAACCTGATGCTTCATCCTGAAAATGAAATGAACAACATTAGATATGAAATGTTGATTAAATATGTCTGACACATTCAAAAGTTATAGTACTAACTTATGCACCTGATTTATCACAAATTACTCCCTCCAAAGTAATTAAGTTGATAAGCATTGAAGTTTTAATGGGAAATTCTCCTCCTGAATGTGACTTGGGCTAGACCATTTCCGTAGAGAAAATAGCCTCTTGTTGAACACAAACACAGTCCAACTGTGCTTCTCATGCCTCTTTTACTTCATAAATGATCTTTGGCTAATTATATACACCAGCCAAAAGTTGAGTTTTAGCTGTGACTGTTACACGTTAAATAACTACAGCTGATATAATCTGCTACTGGTGGTGCTTGTCATTTAAACCAACCGGTGTGTCATCTAAAAGTGAGAGGAATTAATTTTTAATATTGATGTAACTATCTTTTTTGTTTTTTTCTCTTTTTGCTGCTTGTCAACAGGTGATGCTGGGTGGCACGCTAATTGGGATTGGGCGCAAGACCTCCGATTGCCAGGGGAATACTAAGTACTTTCGCTGCAAATTCTGCAACTTCACATACATGGGCAGTAATTCCTTAGAACTTGAACAACACTTCCTGTCCTCGCATCCAAATAAAGTCAAAACTCCGCCAAGCACGCCCCTGCTGGCCACCAATAACCTTGCAACGCACGACAACCAGGCAAAGGAAAAGGGTCAAATCTTAGACGGGGCGGAGCGAGTCGCTGTGAGAGCTGAAGATGACTCCTTGGTTGGGTACTCCATTCCAGTCAGGGCATGTTCAGATTCATCAAGCTGGACAGGGGAGCCGGGTCGAGGGGCTGTGCAGGCGTATTATTGGTGTAAATTCTGCAGCTGGAGTTGCGAGTGGTCAGGGGGCTCGGCGAAGCTTTTAGATCACTATGAACAAAGACACAGAATGAGCACGGGAGGTACTATGAGCCCCAACAACTCAAATGCCGGGGGGATGGACATGGAGCGGGAGAGAGGAGGGAGAAGAGAAGGAGGAGAAAGAGACCACACGGCATCCAAAAGCCGCAAAGATCTATCATCTAACCCATCCAGCACCAGCCAAGGTAATTAAATGGGAGAAAGTATGGTGAAGTCTGGCGGTGAATTGCTTTAAGTGTTTGTCAGTAGAAGGTAGCTACGTTAATGGAGCACAAGATTAATGATCAAGTGTAACAAAATTAAATAGAGTACAATGATTTTTACTTCTTCTAGTACTATGATGCTGCTCGACTTTGCTCTTTAAAGAAATTCAGTAACACTGCCGGACTCTACTTATTTGCTTATTTGTTACAAGTACAATAATACTTCTTGACTGTCTTTTTTTATTGTTTTTAATGCTATGATGCCACTTGAACCTCCTTGTTTGTTTTCCTTGATACAGTTGACCTCTATTAGATTTTTTGACATGTCTTTGGTTGCTTTTTTTCTACTCCAACTCCCAAACTGTTGCTCTGATTTCTGCTCCCAGGAGACCCAAACAGCAGCGATTCGGAAGCAGTCGTGACCAGCTATAACTGTCAGTTGTGTGATTTCCGGTACTCAATGGCCCACAGTGCAGATGTGATTGTAGTAGCACCGTTGCTACTGCACTACCAGCACAACCACTCCATCCACCGATGCTGCATTCAGCACTGCATGTATTGTCCACAGGGGCTCTGTCAGCCGCATAAACACCTGGGGGAGGTGAGATTAATAAAATATTTAAATGTTTATTTGTATTGGTGTTTGCTAGGCAATTAGAAGGAAAATAAATTAGCTGTTTTGTAAGCTCTTGAAAATAAAATGTAATATATGAACAAGTTAATTATTCCAATTTCCAGCCTAGTTAAAATTCCCTTGCTTTCCCGAACCACTCACCCACGTTCCCCACCCTCCTTTGTGCCAGCTGCCAAAGATAAAAATCAAAAAGCTTGGTTTGTCAATGTTGGGGGTGGCGTCATTCAGTGCAATGGTGATGTACCCTGGTACCATTTGATATCACCTGCATAGACGAAAACACATTTACAGAGAAACAGAAATAAAGTTAAAGTCTAAATTCCCCCTGTATGTACAGCTTTGTCACTAATGATTTAAGCGTGCAAAGATCCATGCTATTCGTCACCAAACGTCTGATTTTTCTCAATAGGTGTCTCACCCCTTTGCTTGTCGGAAGCCCACCTGCTCTAAATGCTGTTCCAAGTTTCCTCAGTCCACCAAACAGCAGGACACAGTCGGCTCAAAACCCGCTACCACCACCTCACCCAGCATGACCCCTTCTAATCCTAGAGGTGACCCTGGTATGATTTCATTATCAACGTTTCACCCCTCTAACCCTGCCCATCCTGTTGTCACACAAGGTATTCAAAGGCATACTTCAACTAGCATATTTTCAGTTGTTTAATTGTATTTCAGCAGATTTAACATGATCTTTTCTTTGTTTCTTGTTCCTGATTTGTCCTGTTTTTCTGATCCTAGGCGTCACCCACTTGTGTGACCAGTGTGCGTTTGCCACCACCGACATCGATGTGTTGCTCCAACACTACGAAAGCTGCCACACCCTGATTAACCTAAAGGGGGCTCCACCACATGTCAAGGCCGAGGAAGAGATTGGGGGAGAGAAGGAAGGGGGGAGAGGAGGAGGAGAGAGAGAGTACTCTTGTACAAAGTGTCACTTCATCACGGAAGTGGAAGAGGAGATTTTTAGACACTACAGGTAAGAGATGGGGTCAGATAACATTAATTAAATACTATGAATTATAAATTTTCAATACTATATTATTCCACTTAATACATTGTTTTTTCACAGTGTTGATTCTTAGATATGAAAGTATATTAAAAAGCTTTAAAGATTTAAGATACACAGGAAGTCTACCTTTTAGTCATAGGGTTAGGGTTATTGTTAGGGGGTTTGGACACAATTTAAACATTCACACCTGGAAGCAACTCAGACATCAGATATTCACTTTTTTTTTCTTTGAATAGGAATGTCACATACCTCAGTATCACCATACTGTGAAGGTCTTCACACCAAAATTTGTTGTGTAATGATCCCGATGAAGTAATTGACGATGTTCTCTAAGTGTTGCTGGAAGAATGTCACTGTTGTGTGTTCTAATTAAGTACATTGCCATATTTTGAATCTACTACAAGTACAAGGCCTATAAAATAGTGCTACCTGATTTATCATTGCACTCCTACATCGACGTAGTCATACTCATAATGGACTGTATTTTTTTAACTACAAACCATTACATAATTCCATGCTAGCTAAACACTCTGGCATAATACCAGTACACATGATAGTAATATGGATCATGTTAGCTGGTGAAGTAATGTGTCAACTATAGTATTTTGCAACGGGTAACGTTAGCAACTAGTCGGCGACTTGAGCCAACTAAAGCACAAAATCACAATATATTTCACATGATTTGCAGTAATGTGACCAAACCAATGGATTTCACATAGAAAGCGACTTAGAGTCTGTTAAATGCAACCAAGAAAGCCGGTGAATGGTTAATTTTTGGATGTAAGGTTACAACTGTTCACAAATAGGCAATAAAAAAGGGATTAATTTCATTAAAAAACTACATTTACACCTAAATTAAGTTTTTTGCTTGCACATACAAAGGCGTGTGTATAGTATGTGTAGTAAATAAGCCTTAAGCTCAGTTTCATAGGCCTCTAAAGCCTGGAGAGGCCAGAGTAGACTCCACAGCCAATTTGTTTCCTACACAAACACACACACACACGCACACACACACACACACACACACACAGACACACTACAGGGCTATCAGTGACAGATCCAGGGAATGATAGAGAAAGCTAGAGTAAGTTAGGGTAGGAAAGAGAGAGGGGGTGGTGTGGGAAAGTTGGGGCTAAAGGCTGAGAGAGATACACAGAACTGAGGATAGTTGTGTGAAATATTTTTGGCTATATAAGTATCAATCTAGATTGCTGACCTGGATTGCTTCTTGATGTATGAGCACACACAAACTCACAGATTCACTTACTTTTTCTTGTTTTCTCGCACACACATTTGTAAAATTACAGTCTGACAGAGCCATCTTAGCAAGATTTCTGCTACAAATCAATGAAAGATTAAAAAAGTTTGATTCGTTTCAGGGTGAGAGCACTGAGAAGAAAAGGGAGAGATAGACAGAGAAGAGAAGAAGGGATGGAGTGACTGAGAGAAAGTGAAAAAAAGTAAAAAAAAATAAAAATAACAAAAAGAGAGAAGACATTGCATGAGGGAAGGCAAATGGAAGAAAAAGAAACAGGGAGAAACTGAAAGAAAGGCAGAGAAGAACGTGGAAAGATGAGGGAGAGAGGGTGACAAAGCAAGAGAGAGAGAGAAAGAGAGTGTGGAGGGGATTTAACAGTCCACTCACGTCCTTAACAAAATCTAAGCTCTGAATCTTGGAGCCCAAATCAAATAAAACTGAAATAAAGCCAGAAAGTTTCACACCACCACTAAAATCAACCAAACCTTGAAGGATTCCAAGGCCATGTTTTAGAAAACAAAATTCAGGATTTAATTATAGGGTGCTCAGAACACAGGGCCATGGTGTTAGGGGAAATAAGTTACCAGCTGAAACAAACTAATCAATCTCCTTTGTAACTTCTACACCTAAACACTTTTTACTGAGGTTCTGATATTTGTAGGCACATACATACACCAACAAGAGCTTACTAACTACTATGGCTTTGTTGTGATAGCTTATAATGTGCATTGTGTAATTACAGTGCCAGTGTTATTTGGCTTCAAAATAAAGTCATAATGAAAAATCTGTTAAATATACTTATAAAGCTTATTCTCAAACATTTTGGTATTGTATGTAATGTCTTGAATTATTAACACTTGGTGAGTGTGTGTCTGTGTGTGTGTGTCTGTGTGTGTGTGTCTGTAGACTTGTTATGTGCAGGTGTGTATTGACCTCAGAGCATTTGGGGGTCTTGACCCTAAACACAGCCTTGTTATTTGAGATACTTTTGACTAAGACTTGGTTAATGTAGACCCGTTAGACACTCAGCTGAAGTTGCACATACGCTAGCGCAAATGTGGGATGTGTAGGCTCTTTGCTCACATATCAAATGCAACTGGCTTTCTTGGAACCAGTCGCAGATCAAAAGTCTCATCCACATGGGGGAAGCAAATGCAATGAGAAGCTATATGGGCTATATTAACTAATTAGTTAAATGTGTGCTTCCACAGACTACATGGTCCTGTTCTGCAGGAAGAGACATTTAGAGAGAATTTTGTACCCAGGCACTAGCATTACACATTCTTGACTTCACATGTTGCTACGACAGTGAAGGCGTCTGGCTTTGCTCTGTCCGTTATTACACATTTCACATGTAGAGGATATAACAGACATTTCTTGGACCATTCTTCTCCGGTTTATTTTCTCAAAAGATATATTAAAATGCTTTCTCAACTCTTTCCCTTGTCACTTTACAAATAAATACCTCCAAAAGGCAAAATGATGCACTGAATTTCCCAGCGAACTACTCATACGTTTGCAATTACAGCTTACTATTCTCAAAGAAGTAATAAATAAAATAGCTTCAATACTATATGTAATGGCATCTTTTGGGGTTTTTTTTCAATGGGAAAAGTGTAAGTCAGTCAGTTTATGTGAGACAGATGTAGCTGTGACAGTATTCAGGTTAAAGGTGGATTAAATCAGTACTTGTGTAGAAGGAATGATATAAACGTCATTTATCATAAATGTGTGTGTGTAAGAGAGAGAGCAAGAGAAACAGTGGCAGAGCAAGTAAGCGGGTAAATGAATCAGTGAGTGCACCAGACCTTGTGCGCATGTATGTATGTGTGGTGTGTGTGGTGATGACAAACAGAGAGGCCACTGTCTTTGTTCAGCATCTGGAGACATTTAAGCCCACTAGGTACAAGGTGTACTTTACTCACACACACGTTTTCGCTAATTTCTACAAATACCTTGATCATTTTGATCTGCTCGAGATGCTGTTGAAGCCCCAACTTGAATCTGTCATTACCCAGGACATTTATTTTCTTCATCAACTAATAAAGGGGCACTGCATTTATTTCAAGTGCATGTATTTTATTTGTTTGAAGCTTCACATCATTAACCATTTAACTCCCTGTCAGTCGTGCAAAAACATGTTTGTGTGGGTATATGATAGGGTTTTTGATAGTTGTATTTCTGGATGTATCCTTACTACTTGTTTGGGTATGTCTGTGTGTGTTTGTGTGTGTGTGAGCAGCTCCTAGTTTTATATGTATACCTAAAAGTTTATTTTTCCCCCCCACACTCCCATGCAGCGTGGCAGTAAGTGAGAAAATTTTTAATTAGGGTTAGATGTGAGTGAAATAAGTGAAAATATGTTCATCCTATTTTGAGTCAAGTTGCACACCTGACTTAATTGTATCAGCTAACTAATATGCATGCCAGGTCTTTTTCTAAGTAATGAAGGTCTGAATTGTTAATCCTTTTATTGAAAGGCTTGTTAAAGTCTATTTCCCAGCATAATCAATCTCTACAACAGTCAAATAATTAGATTAACTCAGTAGACAAAAAGATTTATATTTAAATATTCATAATAAAATAATCATATTTATTGCTGCTAGTTAATATTTTTCCTATATACCTAAATTTAAAACAGCTGCACATAGTGGGTCAACCACAAATGGGAGTCCAAGTCCTAGGTATAGATGCTCTATTGATATTACTCGTTCGCCCACACAAGAAGCACTAAAACTGTTTTCTGAGCCAGGGAAAAACCCTGATGGTGTGTATCGTATATATAGCTAGTCATCTGGGGGCCTTGCCAACAGGAAATGAAGGTGGATTGTTGATGGGTGGATTCATTCCTTGTCATTCAGATTCATTTACATTCCTCATGGTTTTGTCCTTATTCATCGTGATTTAGTGGAACACTGAGTCACTTTTTGGCCATGGGCTTGGTGAAACTCGACCTGAGTGGTCGAAGGAAATCAGACAGGTACAAGTGCACTTTAAATTCAGTCATTTCAGGGATTGGGTTTTCTTCAAAATGTGATCAATTAAAAACTTTTTTTATATATACAGCCCAATAAAAGCTTTTAGAAATTTACCACTGGGATTTTCCCTCACACATTTTGAATCAATGAAATTCCAGATGAATTGACTACTTTACTTACTTCTTCAATACTGATGTTATTTCTTATGTTCAGTCTCCTTAGGCTTACTTTAGTGTGACTCGGTGTCACAAAAAGATAAGACAAAATCAATTTTTCCATGCGTCATGTTGGGATGCAATGGTATTGTCTAGGCACAATTTGAAAAACTACATAATTTATGAATATATACATATTATAGGTTTAGGTTTGTCAAACTGTGTCTACACACGTTTAATTGGGTGATTAAGTTTACCAGTCCTGATTCAAAATGAAAGTAAATAATGTACTAGTATGTAGTAGTTGTTTTATTTTTAATACAGCATTTTATTCATTTTAATTAAAGTTTACCTGGATAATTCACTCACTCCTTTTTGTTTTCTATAGACGTGTCCACGCGTGTTGCCGTTGTCGCCGCTGTGACTTCACGGCTCCTGATTCGTCGGCCCTCCTCGACCATTTCAACTCCGCCCACTGCCATGAATCCTCTCCCTCATTAAGCTCATTGACAACGACGTCCTTAGCCACCTCACTGACGACCACACTGATGCCTTCATTAACACTCTCAGCCAATGGCTGCTCAGCTCCCTCTACCTTAGCCATTAAAGAAGAAAGTAAGGGGGATCTTCGCCTCCTCTACTCCCTTGCGCCACCGGAGGGACGGTTGGCAGAAGGAGGCAGAGAAATGGTAGGTGGGGTGGTAAAAAGTGAGGGAAGTGAGGAGAAAGAACGAGAGCGGGAGAAAGGCTGGGTTCTTGGGGAGACAAAAGGACTAGGAGAAAGAGGAAGTGAGCAGGCCCACGGTTTACTCTGGGTGCCCAAGGAGCGAATGGGACCCGAAAGAGGAGTAGAACGAGGAACAGGAGGTGGGAGCCCTTCTCGTTTCTCCTCCCCCCTGTCATTGTCGTTTGTTTCAGCCAATCATGAGGCCTCGCAGCAGAAAAGAGGCGTGGCTTCACCTAGCATGGTTTACCTGGGAGACACAAAGTCGTTTTTGGGAGATACCAAGTCGTTTTTGGGAGATGCCAAGCTGTACGGAGGAGGAAGGCCAGGAGGAGCCACCGCAGGTGGAGGTGGAGGGGAGAAACAGATCCAGATGCCCGCTCAGCAGTACACAGGAGGAGGGAGTGGAGGTGGAGGAGGACAGGAGGCGAAAGGAGGAGCCGCTAAAGAGGAGTCCCAATCACTGCTACGGGTAAGGTGGAACATGTGCACACCTCCTACTCCTTTCATTCTCTAGATTCCTCTGTTTCACATTAACCTCATTCTCTCATTTAGCCTAATCTTCCTTCTTTGTCTCACTTACAACTGTGATTTTAGCTTTTAGCTCTGACTCTCTGAATGAAAGCCTTTGTAGCTGGAGCTCTATAGCCACATCCTACCTGCTGAGATCATTAGTTGTCAAAGTACTTTTATTAATACGCCTTTATCTTCGTCTCCTTTGAATCAGGTGTGAGGATTAGACCTCATGCAGTGTTCTTACATCAAATTTAAAGTACTTAACGCAGTTTGATGTTGGCTTAAAAAAAGTGTGTACTAGTAACCCTGCATACTTGTTGCATGTTCATATCTCTGTGCGTTTTTGTATGTGTGTAGGTTTCCATGACACAATTTCTTTTCCCATAAGTTCTATTCATCTTTTTTTTTTATTATTAAATTTTGATTCACAACACTGAGAAACTTGCCTGTTGCTACGGCAACTAGGAGGCACACTGACAGTTCCCATGGTTACCACGTGTCAATCAGTTCCCCTCATCCTATTTTGTGGCCCACAATGCCTTTCACTTCAAAGTGATGTCATGGACTGGCAGGAACAAACTGTGGTTTGCCAGTGCCACAGAGCTTATTGGCTATGATCACATGAGATCAGAATAGACTGAACTGTGTGTGTGTGTGTGTGTGTGTGTGTGTGTTTGTCAGGTCACTTACATGGGGCTATGTAAGTGGTATTATTAAGTGTGAGAAGGGTGCTCGTGGTGTGTGAACATATCAGTGTGTGAGCTGAGTGTATGGCTTCTTTGTACAAGTTGTGGGTTGATCTATTGCATGTGTGTGTGTGCGTATGTGTGTGTGTGTGTGTGTGTGTGTGTGTGTGTGTGTGTGTGTGTGTGTGTTTGTGTGAGGTGTTGGCAGTAACTTGGCAGACTGGGCAGGGTGGGGCAACAAGAGGTTTACTCATTATCGTGGGTGGGGCACTGTGTGTGTGTGTGTGTGTATGTGTGAGAGAGAGAGCGAGACAGACAGGGAGAGAGTGCATGCGTGAGAGAGACAGGGAGGAAAACTGAGATGAAGATAGGGAGGGTCAGATCGAGATCAAAGTGTAGCAAAAAAAGACGTTAACCCCATAGCATACTGTTTTGTTCCACTTAAAGAAAGAAATGTTAAACAACATATAACTCCATCTGAAATCACAATTGTGATTTTAACATTTCTGCTGTGTATGGACGTAACAAACGAGTTATAGCATGTGAATAAGTGAGAGACATTGGAGACATTGGTAGATGTTGTTCATTCATTTTGGACAGAGCTTGCTGTTTCCCATAGTATGTATGCTAAGCTAAGCTGACAGTATCCTGACTCTTTTGACATGGATCTTCTCAGTTAACGCCTGGCAAGAAACCACAGAACATATTTCCAAAACTGTTGAAGTGTTCCTTTAGGTGGCAGTAAATGTAGAAAAAACATTTCATTCCACACTATCTGACAGCATCATATACAATCTGTACCAGCTTGCCCTAACTCTTCATTGACGCTATATGATGTTTAGTAAAACCCAAGAATCCGTGTTTGTAAAGGCTGCACAATTCAATAAAATTTTCACTATTCCCCCATATTCTAATTGAAACATTTGAGATCATTGTTTGTAATGGTTGTTCCCATTAGATGGTCAGTAAGGATTGAAGCTAAAATTATACTTTCTTTGTCTGCTGGTGTCCATGTGCCGACTGCATGTGTGAAGACATCTGCCTATTTTGCCATCCAATGTCGTATAAACCACAATGTTTGAGGGATTGTCTTTGTCTTTTGTGTCTTTTTTGTTGTTGTTGTTTGAGTATATGTGCGTCTTCGGGAGTAATGTGTTCCGTAAGAGAGAAAAACACAAGGATGTTAGTGAGTGTTGGAAGGCATGAAGAAGAAAGAGGAAGAGAGAGAGGGAAGAGACAAACAATTTAACAATTTATTCGAGGAGAAACTGAACATGACTTATTATTTTAATAGCTTCATAAGATACGGCCTTTGCTGCTATCGTTCTCCCTCTCCCTCCTCTCACTAAGCAATATTTATTCTCAGTTTCCATGGCATGCACAGACACGTCTAACACACACACACACGCACACACAAATATACCACACACACAAACATACGCACATAGGCGTAGGTTGACTCATCACTGGGCAGGGTAAGGGAGGGGCACTAATGCAAAGTATCATCTGAAATAGCTTAGTACACACACACACACACACACACACATATATTGACACTTAAAGACACGTACGCACACAGAGACACTTAGTTCAATTTAAATTTGACCTTTGACGCAACAGGGCAGAGTCTGAATTATAAAAGGTGAATGTGCCCAAAATACTAATTGACTCTTTGTAAATGGCAAGTGAGAAGTAGCAAGGGAGAGCTAGGAGAGGATGGAGGGAGGGTTGACAGAAGAGGAAGAGCGATGATGGAAGGAGTGGGTTAATAGGGTGGAAGCGAAGGATTAAAACGAGACAAGAACAGAAAGAAATGGCCAAAGTCATATTTCATCTATCTATCTATGTCTTCTTTATGTGCCTGTGTGTGCGGGTTTGCGCTGTTTCCCTCATCCTCACTTGTTTTTTCTCTTCGCCCCTCCATCGACCTGTCTCTCCCCTTTTCTTTTCATTCCTTTTTCTTTCATTTCCCTTCTTTTCCTCAAAGGACAACTCACCTGATACACAGGGATCGATATACGCCTCACACACTAGCTTTCAGGCATTCAAACAAACACCCATGAAGGGGTGCGCGCACACACACACACAGCAAAGAGTTGTTAGTATTCTCTTACGGGAGGCTTTTTGCTTTGTTGAAAGAAGAGAATATTTTCTTTTGAAAGGCCTGATCTATAATTGCTGCACAGTGTTGAGACATTGCCCCGCTATTGGCTTTGTTTTCATTGTGATTTATTACATTGAAGACATTTTCTCAGTCTGAAATTTAATTTTCTGACTTTTTGACTGACTGTATGAGGCAAGGATAGAACGCGTATGAGGTTTAGAGATGAAATTAAAGTAAAAGCTTGGTTGACGTTTTAGTTTATAAATGGAATGAGACAGAGTTTGAGTAATGGTGGTTTTTCGACTTAAGTAGGGCTGCGAAAGGTCCACCTCTGAGCCAAACATATGTGAACACATATGAATATACCCAAACATGTGTGGTTGGACCCAAAGTTTAGATCACCTAATAAATTCCAGACTGTGTTTTCAAAGGGAATTCCATCTCAAGGACAGCAGAGGAGTAGATAAATGGACACAAGCAGGGGGAGGAAGATATTGTGGATGTGACCTTACAAACACAATATAATTGTGTTCATCTTATGTGGTCATAATGCAGTACTCAAATGTGGACCTTCTGGGATTTTAAAAGTCCCATGCGTGACATTCAATTCCATTTGAGTTGAGAGACAGACAGAGAAAATAGAGAGGCGGACTGAGAGAGATAAACGGGAATGTGTGCTTTCAGCAGATCAGAGAAGAGTTTCATTAAAGTTTCTCTCGTTTACATTTCTGCCCGACGGAGCTAATTATGTTTAAAAGACACACAACACACGCAGACACACACACAGCTGTATTTCCATAAAGTTCTCATTACTTTGCATTCTATTTCCCTTCCCTCTTTCCCTGCATAAATTCATGCACGTCAGTGTACATGTGCATCTGTGTGCGCTTTCCACTGCTTGTGTACTTAATTATGTGTGATGGGTCGGCATTTGTGTTCTGTCTGCCTGTGTGCGTGAGCGTGTGTGTGTGTTTTGTAAGGAAATTAAAGCATGAATTGAACTTATTTTCTGTGCTGATAATTTAACATCACTTTATATCCGCTACAGGAAATTATGGAGCTTATGCTCAAGTCAGTGTGTGTGTGTGTGTGTGTGTGTGTGTGTGTGTGTGTGTGTGTGTGTGTGTCACTGTGTTTGTGTGCTTAATACTTTTTTAAAGCCAAATGAGAACAACGTGATTTAACTTATCAGTTGTGTTCTTTAACAGATTGACTATGGTATCTGAATGTTGTCTTTCTATTTCCTGGCTCTTTGCACTCTCACTATCAACCACTTCAGATTGCTTATACTGTGTAATTGTCTTTTCTACAGTTTCTTTGCCTTACATGCCTTGGTTAACCTTTTGATGGAAAAAGTTGATGGAAAAGATGTTTTGATGACTTGAAACTGAAGTGATAAACTTTTATTGGAAGTCCTGTGTCCTTACTTTTCTTACTACCACCTCACTAATGAGCCTATATTTCCACATGTCATCATATTAGTCAACCGTTAAGTAACAAACTGCAGCAGTACAGAAATGCCAAAAATATGTTTATGGGGAGGGCAAATGTAAAATATCCCATATGCTGCATATCTGGATGACAAATCACCAAAATTAGGGAATCCTAATAAAAAATGTTTGTATATGTTGTGTGTTTATACTAAACTGACCTTTTCAGACAAGTTAATAAAGCTGGAAGTACACAATAAGCACTATCTAGTCATCACTGAGAGTCCTTTTGACCTTTGTTTCTTCATTTCTTTCTCTGTTGATGTGGAAGATTTGACTTTGAGGGTGACAATACCGGCAACCATTGATGTGCCGGTAAGCCGTATATGCCACTGGCCACAACAGCTAACTATTGACTGCTCCAGCAGCCATTAAATATCAATACCAGCAGTCTGAGCTCAAAGGTGCATTTTCTATCCTGAAAGATGAGGTTGCTCTGCTGTTTGCAGACTGTTAGCATCCTATATACGGCCCCTTATGAAAAGCGTAAAAAGTGCTGTGTTGTGGGGTTTTTTAGCCGCTGAGGTGCAGTTTGTGTGTGTCGGAAAAAGAAAAAGATATTCCTCTCTCTCTTCCTCTCTGCACACACACACACACACACACACACACTAGCAGAGTTGTCTGTTCTGGGTCGTTCAGTTTGTTTGTGTAGCAGTCACATTTCCCATCAGGACAC